AAGAAGAAAAATAGAAATAACCCCGCAGGGGAGTGTCATCAGTCCTCTTTTATTTTCTATTATGATCAATGATATATACACACAAGTAGGATCTGATATTGGTAAGTCACTTTTTGCAGATGATTGAGCTATTTGGAAAAGGGGCAGAAATGTAAAATATATTGTAGCTAAGATTCAGGAAGCCATTACGGAAATTGAAAGCTGGTCTCTGACATGGGGGTTTAGATTGTCGGTGGAAAAAACTGAAACTTTATTTTTTACGAGGAAAAGGATAGGTGAGGAGGTTAGGTTAAAACTTTATGGACAAGATCTAAAGAAAGTGAAGACATTTAAATTTCTGGGAATATGGTTGGACGAGAGAGTCACATGGAGAACTCACATTGATAAAGTAGTAGATAAATGTAAAAGGGTTTTAAATGTTATGAGGTGCTTGGCAGGCACTAAGTGGGGGGCTGATAAAGCTGCTTTGAGGAACGTATACACGGCCTTAATAAGATCAGCCATAGAATACGGACTAATAGTGTATGGGTCAGCTGCATATTCTTCTCTTCAAAAATTAGATAGAGTCCAGGCACAAGCACTAAGGATATGCTGTGGGGCAGTAAGATCTACACCAGTGTCGGCACTTCAGGTAGAGGTCGGAGAAGTACCTATTTCTTTGAGGAGAAAGCAGTTAATTGTTAATTACTGGGCAAATCTACAGGGTCAATAAAGATACTCACCCTAACTAAACAAACTGTAACAAACAAGGTTAGGGAAAAGTAAACAAAATAAAAAAAGAAAGTTTTTGTTTTTGTGTTTCGGAAATATGTAAGGAATTCAAAGTTAAAGAATGGAATATTAGTCCGACGGTGTTGTTATCAGCTGTTCCACCATGGTTGCTACCTCAACCTATAGTAGATTTATCACTATTGAAACGGGTACATTCAATGAAAAACAAATTCAATGTACAGGCTTATGTGAACACTGTTCTACATGAACAATATGGGCACTTTATAAAAATATTTACTGATGGATCCAAAAATCCAGAAAATAGTCTAACTAGTTGTGCATTTTATGTTCCTGAATTAAAAGTCAAAGTGGGAAAGCGTACAAGTGATCACATTGCAGTATATACAGTAGAGATGATGGCTATCTCTCTAGCACTTCAGTGGGGAGAGGAAATACAGCCAATGCGAGTGGTCGTTTGCTCTGACTCCAGTGCAGCTCTGGAGAGTATAAACAACTTCTCTTCAGAATGTCGTCAGGATATTTTACATGACATTTTACAAAGCATGTTTAGGTTAGTTCATCTGGGAATTGTTGTTCAATTTGTGTGGGTTCCAGCGCATGTGGGCATTAGAGGGAATGAAGTAGTGGATCAACTGGCAAAATGTGGTTTGAAAGCAAACCAGATTGATATTATGGTACCCATCAGTAGAGCAGAAGTCAAATCTTTTACTAAAGTGGTTATCAAGCAACAATGGCAAAAACTATGGGACAGTAACACCAAAGGAAGACATTTATACCAGATACAAAGGGAAGTAGGAACAGGAAGCACTTGGGGGAGTAGTAGAAGAGAACAGAGCATTAACAGCAGGATAAAATTGGGACACTCTGGACTAAACTCATCATTGCATCTGATTGGAAAACATCCAAATGGCAATTGTGATGGTTGCCAACAACCCGAGAAAATACATCATGTATTTTTTAGCTGCCCGGATTATAACAGACAAAGATTCATTCTGAAAACTGCACTGGAACAACTCAACATCAAGGACATGGATTTCATGGCAATATACGAAAATAAATCAAGAAATGAAGCAAACAAGCTGATCTTCAAATTCCTCAAAAGCACTGGTCTGAGGACAAGGATTTAATATGAACATTTAATAACTCAAGAGTAGGTGGCGATATATGCTCCAAGTGGAAGCGATTCGCCATTAAAGAAAAGAAGAAGAAGAAGAAGAAGAAGAAGAAGAAGAAGAAGAAGAAGAAGAAGAAGAAGATGTGGGATCGGATGGAGGGGGTGTTCCTCTCATAGCCGCCGGGGGCGCTGTGCCCTCTGCAGCGCCCTCCCTTCACCTGCTATTCTTCTTCACACTCAGCGCAGTGGTCTTTGACTTTGAAACATGGCTGCCTTTAGGGAAACACCATAATACTGCAGCCTACAATGTTCCTTCTACATCATATATTTCTCACAAGGGCGGTCGTGTATTAGTTTGACCAGACATGTCGGATAAAGAGGCCGGTATGGGGAAGGAGAGTCCCGGGGAGAAGGGTTACAGGACCCCCGGGCTGAGGGCCACGCAGACCACCACCATGTTCCGAGCCTTCAACCCCGAACTGTTCATCAAGCCGGTGAGCCCCATTAGGAGAACATTAAGAGGAGAACACAGAACTTGATTTATTAATAGTACATGACGCTAACACTGTCCTGCTGGGAAATTAGCATAAATGAGCAGTTAGCTTCTGCGTAGCAAGCTTAGTATAACATCGGGAGTCTGAAGGGAACTTACGTAAATATCCCATTCTTTAAATGGTAGTTTCAATTAAATGTTCTTTTAAGGTTATGTTTTTAAACGTTTTTTTTTCAATGTCTTCAAGTGTCACTTGTTGTGTCCTTATTATGTTGCCAGTTTGGAGATAAGTCAAGTGTATTACACCCACAACTTGCAGTGTAACATTATGTGGTCAAATGCCGGAAAATACAAGCTTCTTTATAGACATGTTTGCAAAGTTCAGCCTTTATCTAGAAAACTAAAAACCTATACATATATAGGATATACTGGATATATTATAGTAAGCATATATATATATTATTCTTTTAATCCTCGATATATAAATGACAGTTTATGAGGATCCTTTAAACCCTGCTCTGTAACATGCAGCCTGTTGTTCTGCAGAACAAACCGGTGATGGCGTTTGGACTGGTGAGCATCACGCTGTGTGTGGGGTACCTGGGATACATGCACGCCATGAAGGAGAACGACCAGCAGCTGTACGAGGTCATCGACAGCGAGGGAGAGAAGTACATGAGGAGGAAGACTTCCAAATGGGACTGACGTGTGTGTGTGTGTGTGTGTGTGTGTGTGTGTGTGTGTGTGTGTGTGTGTGTGTGTGTGTGTGTGTGTGTGTGTGTGTGTGTGTGTATTAAACTGGATTCAAACAAGGATATTCTCTAAATATATTCATTTACCTCTCCAAGACAACACTGTTTCAACAAGAATCGGGCATGATGATCACTATTATGAACATACTTTACTTTTGGACTGTTGCTCAGAGAAAACAAGATATTTAAAGTAATCTTGGGTTCTTGTCAAAGATCATTTGTATATATATTAAGACATTTATTTATTGATTAATCCCAAATAATATTGATAAGGGAATGCAAAACCACAAATATATTTTGCCCTAATGGGACCTACAGTATATCAAACCATTATCGCTCCAACCAACTGAGCAGAGCCTTTAATATGAAAAGGAATTCAATGACTTCCTAAAGCCTCTTCTAAAACCCAAAATACTTCTTGGGTTATGGTCAGCTATGTGACATTTCTACACCTGAAACTCTGTCAAAGTGCTGTTTGTTATTTACACAACAAATAATTAAGAGCTCCAATGGGGAGAGGAAAACACAAATAAAAGAGAATATTTTTTATTTCATTTAAAAAATATTGCTATATGAAAAATTGCAATCAAACTAAAAAAACCACCTCATATAATTTTGAGTTTTGTTTATGGTAAAAAGCAAAGATTAAAATAGTCTTATTATTATTCTTTGAAGTGTATAGTGTTGGCCCCAACACACTATGTATGAGTGACATTATAGTACTCTACTTATAAGATAGGATTAGATCAGGAAGATATGATCAGGTGTCGGATCATCAACAGAAATGAGAGACAAAAGAAAGGGAAAGTAGGAACACACAAGGATAATGTGAAATATCCACAGAATAAAAGTATCATTTAAAATGACAAGAGTACGATTATGTAAAACCGTTGACAGAGAACGATATGAATAAGTATGAGCATGATAAATATATACATCTATGTCCAACTGGAAGTCCAAAGGAGGTTCATTTGTTGAAAGTCTTAGTTACATACAATGCATATTTTTGACTGATGTGAAGGATAGCAAATATAAAGATTTTTTCAATTCTGCAATTATCCACCTGAATCAATGACCACGCAATGAAACCCTTTTTACAGACCTAAGCTACTTTACATGTGTTGGTTGTTATTCACATCGGAGTTTGCACTGTAGAGCTGAAATCACCAGATTCAACACAAAGTTATGGTATGTTTATGTATTTGATGTTTTATTAAACAACATAAATATTCCCAGTACAGCTGAAAATGCAACGTGTTCTGCTGAGGCACAGATGTGAGCTCAGAGGAGAACGTCAGCGCTGCTCCATTATCTGGTTTTCTCATCCTGCAGAGACAAGGTGTATTTGTTGGCAAAAAGTCATTCAAGTAGCCTTTCATAGCAAAACTTAATGTAAACTATGCTTTGGTTTTTGTGCATGTAAGTCAGTGTATGACAATAACTAAACTGCATTTAATTTTCCTGAAGTGGAACATGGTAACTATTGCTAACTCAGCTTGTGCCTCTGATAACTTGAGATCCAGCAACGATGACTAAAATCCTTCATCAGGGTGAGGTCAAAATGTGGCTTCCAACTGCATAAATAAACAAATTATGTGTCAGCTTCTGGCAGATAAGTTCCCATGTCAAAGGGGACAAACTCCATCACAGTAAGGCAGAGGAATCCCACCTTTAGCCGGACTACAATTCAACATTTCTATTGGTTTGAAAATGTTATGAAACATTTGAGATAATGTAACTCCACAACTCCAACAAAGGTGGGTCATTTCAATGCAGAAATGTAACAGTTTGTTTGCCAGCTCATAGGGTCCTATTATGAACCTGGAAATGTTGAGGACCCCGAAGTGTTATGTTATAAATGTGTAGTACGGGTCCCTTGCACATAGAAACTGCTGGGTGCTAACTTGCATATGTTGGTACATTTGCTTAATTAGCATTAATTGGCATATGTAGACAATAGCTAAAAACGGCTTAGCTGATTTTGAAATTTTTTGAGTGGTTTGGGGGATTATTGAGGATGCTTAATCAATTTCTGCCATTTTCAGGACACTTAAAATGGACAACACATTTTTTCATAAAAATCAGCCCAACGGGAGTATAAACATTCTGCCTCTTTCTGGTATAAACTGCAATTTTTGATCCTGAAAATGTCAGAATTGGACTCAGCATCCTTACGAACCCCGAAAACCCAACCTGGTTAGCATCCAGAAGTTTCTATGTGCCGGGGACCCCTACTATATATTTCTACGGGGGTACCATTTACAGGTTCACAGTGCTGGCAAGTAGACTATATACTACGTTTGGGCTATTTAAATTAACTAGTTCATAGCCATCAATTGAGTTCATTTAAGTCAGTGGTTCTCAAACTTTTTCTGTCAGGCCCCCCCTTTGGAGAAAAAAAAAAGTCGGGCCCCCCCAACACAAATAGTCAGGCTCAGTGGCGGCGCCAGAGATTCTATTTTGGGGGTGCTGTGGGGTAGCTTGACGTTTCATAGAGGGTGCTCAAACATTTAGGGTTTCCCATTAATGTACTGGTCGCTACAGTGGAATGTTCTACTGCAACAATCCCCACACACACACACACAGTGTACCCGCGACTGTTACAATGAAGGCTCGATAATCAGCTCACGGCATATAGGTGTAAGCAGGGGTAAAGTGTTATTTTTATAGGTGGTGTGTGGACCTCACATAGGGGGGTCAGGGGGCAAGTTCCCCTGGGAAGATTTTTAAATATTGAAGTTAAAAGCATCAATCTGGTGCACTTTGAGAGCAACATGAAGAGATCTATGGATACATCTCTCAACACCCATTTGAAACAGAACTGTAAACAGATTTACTTTTTCTTTATGGATATTTTACAAATCACTCCCTTTTTAACGTTATTCTTTTTTTAATGTCATATAGTATTTCATACCTGTTTTTAATTTATTCTCTTATTTTTTTATAACTATAATGATCATATAAACGTGGGGCCTCGGAAATAATTGTTTACATTAATGGTGACCAAAACGTTTGAGACCCACTGAGATAACACTGAGAGTCCTTTAGCTCACTGAGTCTCTCATTCTGACAGGAGAGGACTCTCCTCCACTTTGTTGTTGAAAAAACTCCTTATATCCGTTAGCGTAGCTCGCTAGCACCAGAAGCTAACAACAACGATCTCCGGTACCGGTGCGCTCTCACTCGCGCCGCGCACGCACACAAAATAGCTTGTTACACACACACACAGAGCCAAACTTTAATGAAACACAGAGACCCAGACGTAATAGTACTGTATAATATTATTTTCGAATCAATAATTTTTAAAACACATTTTTTTTTTTTTTTTAATGTT